AAATGAGAGCGGTTTTCATATGATCACTCCTCTCTCTCTCTCTCTCTCTCTCTCTCTCTCTCTCTATATATATATATATATATATATATATTAAATTTCTCTTTGTTGATGGTTAGATATTGGGGTCAGTTTGTACGTATCTCAATTAATCTTACAGAGGTCTTGAAGAACAACCATCTCTAATGGCCTTGCAAGACTCTAACAAGTGACCACGAATCTCCAAAAGTCCAAGTCTTATTGTCAGTTACGCTGATGCCACGAGATTTAATTTGTAAGTTTTATTTAAAGAATGTTTTAACTTTTAGTACCAATCAGGGCCGTACCTTAACATGTTAAATATGAGATTTTGAACAGTCTCTAAAATTTTGGGGCCCAATTTTACATATATTTAGGGTATTCTCACAATATGTAATTGTTCAGGTTTAGATATAAATTATGAATGGTTTAGGTTTATGTTAGGTTCAGATTGTTGATCGTTTAGGATTGGCGTCCTTTTTTAAGTGAAATATGCAAAAACGATGATACAAGAAAAAGGCGATAACAACTAGGTATTATGTTCAATTATTTGTATCGATGTTTTGAAGTTGATATCACGTCACGTACTTCCTAAAATATGAGTGCATGATTTATTAAAAACGACAAATTTATGACCAACATTTTGTTATTATTTATGATGGGGGAACTCAAAAACAACAACATATACATGAGGCTAAATTGATTATAAACATATGTCAAACCCATGGTACTTGTTTTTGTGTTTGCTCATATTTGACAAGTCGAAACAACTGCCGTAAATATGCATTTAATTTAATCATAAATATGTATTTTATTTTTATTTTATCAAATAAAAAATAGGAAAAAATATCTTTCTTTACATTTTTTTACCGGTAATAAACACTTTTGAGTGTTTAGATAAACAACTTATACCGGTGTCAAACCGTTAATAAGAAGTTTTTGAAGAAATTATACCCTTCTGACTTATAATAAGTTGATAAGAAAAAGTATAAGAAAAGAAATCTATATACATCTGACCTAGGGATATTATAAATTCTACGTTATCTTTTTAAAGTTTGGCTTTGTATGATTTGGGTTATATTTAAATGAAGAAAAGATGAGGCAAAAAGAAGAATGGTGTGTGGGTTTAATAGGAGTAAGGCGGGTCGGGTTGGGTCACAACTACACTGGTAGAGAGCGTATCTTCATCAAAGTCGTCAAATTTGCAAATTCAATCGCGTTTCTGTCGGTGGGTGCGCGTGATTTCCTCCGTATCTCCGTCTCTCTCTCTTTCTCGCCCCACCACGCTTCTTCATCCTATTTTCTTTTCAATCTATATCATTTGTTTAATCTCAATCTACAGTTGATTGGGATTTTGATGCTTGGATTTGTCATAAATTGAACAATGCACCACATTGACGACAAATCTGCATCTGGGTTTTGATCATCCACCTCGATATAGACAAATTTAGGGTTTTGGTGAGCAATGCTCGGTGGTAAAACCATGTTCAGTTTCCTCACCAGAAAAGATGTCAGGAAAATTCTCAAGCGCAAAGACAGTGACGCTGGTGAAAAAGGTAATCCTTCGCCAACACTTTGGTGGATTCTGTTTTCATTTTCCCCCTTCCTCCTCTTAAATGTCGAAATTTGTTCATTCACTTTTCTAATCCTGTAGTTGATTGCAAAAACAGTGAAAAGGAACCAAAAATTGATTAAACTGAATTCCAGTTAGTTGGCAATATAAGAGGTTGAGTGTAGGTGTTCATCTGCTTCATTTAAATAGACTTTCCTTAAGTGGGTTTTGAACCATTAATGGAGTAATGTAAGGTTTTAGGTCCAATTCTTGATCTGCTTTAATCGTATAATATTCCCCTAAGTGGGGCGTTGAACAATTGATGAAGCAATGTATGCTTTTAGGTCGAATTCTTGATCTGCTTAACTTGTATGAAATTCCCTTTAGTGGGTGTTGAACAATTAATGGATTAATGTAAGTTTTCAGGTCGAATTCTTGATCTGATTCACTTATTCGACATTCCCTTAAGTAGGTATTGAACAATTAATGGAGTAACGTAAGGCTTTAGGCCAAATTCTTGATCTGATTGACTTATGTGAATTTCCCTTTAGTGGGTGGTGGTGAATTGTTGACTAATTAATGGAGTTCTGTAAGGGGTATGCAGCTTGAGTAAGCAAGTCTCTCTTTCCATCTATGGCTATGTTCTTGTATAAAGAAATAGGCTTGTATGTAGCCTACATTAATACGCCCATCGATTTCTTAATGATTTTGAGGAAATTTACATGTCTGTGTGAATAGATTATTTAATACAATAAGCTTGATTCTTGGCTGATTAAGTTGATTCTATTGCCATCTATTGATTGTGCATTGGTTTTTTGAACATTCAAGTGCAACACAACTACTAGTAGCTCCATTTATGGCCAAGCGAACAAACTTATCCAAGTAAGAAGCAAATAGAAGCAGGCTTTTGGGATTTTTGTAACATAATTCAATCATACACATTCATTTGTTTAGGCTAAAATTTTCGGAGAATGTCTGAATCCTTCTTGATCCCCTGATTGCTTACACAACTGAAGATTCGCGTCGCTTCTTGAATGTGTGATCGGTGGCGTTTCTTAGTGAATTAATGTTGTCGTGTTGCTTGTGAAGGGCGATTCAAAGCTATTCTACATTTTGATTGGGGTTGTGGGTGGAGGGATTTCCCTTTTGCAGATGATGACCATTTTTTAACCACGATCCTATTTTTGTATCACCTTTCGGTTCTTTAATATGCAGAATTTTAACTGATATATTGTAATTGATGTACAAAGAAGGGTCGGTTTGAGGCTTTGTTGTTTCTTTTCAAAGGTTGTGGTTTTGACTTGCTAAAGGGCTTTAGAGTTGGTGACGTACATAATCTCGAAAGTATGATCATTATGCATTTTGACTTAAAATTATACAATAATTGAACTCCATGCTCAATTCAAGCATTCTGGTTTTCTTCTACTTGCTTTCCGTCAAGGAGGTCAACCAATATTACCAAAATTTAGGCTTAGTCAAACTCATTGATAGAATTGAACAGTTTAAATTAGTATAAATCCGACAAATAACCAATACTGCAAACGAGCTTTTAGCAAGTCTGGACAAAATTAACATCCCCTTTTAATGCTCTCTCTCTTTTTTATAACCAGGAAGAGCAATGGAGGAACTACGGGCTTCTTTATTTAGCAAGCTACGACGTCAACACCAATCCTTGTTGGGACCCACTCTTGCGCTTACGTTCAATTTCGTTGCGTCTGTTAGTATTATCTTGATGAATAAATTGGTACATCACTTCCTTCTTTTCCTATGCAGAACCGGTATCGTTTGTCTGTTTAGATGCTAACGCTTTCATTTATTTACTTGTATACCCTTCATGTTTCAGGTACTTGTCAAAGTTGGGTTCAATTATCCAATCTTTCTCACTTTTATCCACTACGTTTGTAGTTGGCTGATAATGGCCCTCCTAAAGGCATTCTCCCTCCTTCCTCCACCCCCTTCGTCAAAAACGACAAAATTTTCTTCGTTGCTTGGTCTTGGAATAGTTATGTCCCTCTCTACCGGCCTCGCTAATGTTAGTCTGAAGTTCAATAGGTACGTCAAATTTATTCTAATACCCTTTGTATTCGTAGAGTTGTCGGTCCAATGACCTTCTATTCTTGGATTTTTCTAACTAAAAACATGCTATTTTAGTGTCGGTTTCTATCAGATGGCTAAGATTGCAGTAACCCCGGCAATTGTTTTGGCAGAATTCATGCTCTACCGCAAAAGAATATCTTTCCGAAAGGTAACATACATGATCATATGAACATTGCTGTCCCAAAAAGTCAAACTTGTGCTTTTTTCAAAACTGATATGAATTCACTAAGAGTATTTTGGTAACTACTTCCATTGAACTTGGAAACATCTTTCTTTAGAACAAGTACTTCAACGTTTGGTTTCGTTGACCTCAAAAGTCAAAGTGTGTTTTTTGCATTCGAATGAATTTTATTTATAGTCCATAACATTATGATGTTTCAGGTGCTGGCACTTACCATAGTGTCGATTGGCGTTGCGGTTGCTACTGTTACAGATTTGCAATTTCACTTCTTTGGTGCGTGTATAGCAGTCGCATGGATAATACCGAGTGCAACCAATAAGATATTGTGGTCAAACCTTCAACAGCAGGAGAGCTGGAATGCGTTAGCGTATGTTTCTTGATTTCATTATCCTTCTATATGACTCTACATTTTGACTTTTAAGGTCAAAATTGTTACTCCCTAAATTCAGAATCGACAAGTTTTACCACAAACTGGCCACCAATTTCTTTTTAATTTTAGCATCTTTTTATCAAATTTAATGTTTCAATCAACATTTTCTCTGGAATTAAAGAATTCAGATGGATTTTCAAGCCATTTGAACCTCAGAAGTCAAAGCATACATTTTTTTGAAAGAGAGACTCCATGCATCCGATGGAAATTCCAACGATTTCATTTTTAGCATGTCTCATGAAAATTGAAATATTGGTTTTCCTTGGGAGTTTGAAGTTGTGAATCATTATACCTCGACTAATCCCACGGGCCCTCAAGATAACAGCCAAGAAAATCTCCAATGGCCCTCGAACGGTCGACCTATGGGGAGGAGCCGCAAGGCCTAGCCTTTATTTGCCGGTTTAGGTTCCCTTATTTTGTTATATCAATGGAGGGTATTTTATACATTTGTCGATTCTGTGCAGGTTAATGTGGAAGACGACACCTATCACTCTGTTTTTTCTAGTGACGATGATGCCATCACTTGATCCTCCTGGTGTTCTTTCCTTTGACTGGAGCTTCTACAATTCTTCTATTATTGGTGCTTCCGCTGTCCTCGGCTTCTTGCTTCAGTGGTCCGGTGCATTGGCACTTGGGTAAGTTTCATCCTGCCATTTTATGGTCATGCAATCATCGTTGCTTTAGAAGAACAAAAAACAATATTTCTTTGACCCCTGTATCCTAATTATGTATTCTTTATGTTTAGATAACCTTTTTATGCACTTTTTTGGAATATTTGACATGACTTGGATTTTGTGTATGTTAACAGGGAAACATCGGCAACAACTCATGTTGTTCTTGGACAATTCAAAACTTGTGTGATTCTTTTGGGAGGTTTCATCATGTTCGGTTCTAACCCCGGATCAACCAGCATCTGTGGTGCAGTTACGGCTCTTGCTGGTATGTCTTTCTACACTCACCTTAACTTGAGGCCACAGCAACAGCCGATGAAGACGTCTCCCAGACAAGCATCTGCTTTCTCTTTACCAAAATCTAAACTCAGCAAAGAAAACGGAGACACCCATGATCACGGGAACCATGGAGACGAATCTGTCTAACCACACACACGCATGAAAAGTCGATAACCTTAATTGTTTGAATTCGTTTTGTTTACAAATGGGCTGGTTTTGTTTTAGATACCAGCTTTAGCTCTAGGATATGGTAAGATGAGTCATGTAAATTGGGTTTGCTTAGATTCATATGGCTAATTATCTACTGGTGCATCTCCAGTTACAGTTTGACTTGAATTCATGTCTATTCTTAGTCTGCAATATGTACATCATATGGGTTTCAAAGATGGGAAAAGGAATTTTGTTATTGGGTCTGTAAGTACACCATGTAATGTATGTCATAACGGGCCAACCCGTGATGGCAAATGGGTTGGCCCATAAATAGGTGCATTGCCTGTGGTTCATGAATAGTTGTGAAGCTAACCATATTACAAAAAACGAAACTAAATATATGAAGATGAAATATAAGCATAAGCAATATGAGACAACGCCAAATTTATGTGGCTCGACTAGCAATGTGATGGTAGAGATGACCAACAGTCGGCTCGGCCAGTCATAAAATCGGGTTGATTGCACCTGGTCCCAACCAAAAATGCTAGGTCTGTTTCTAGGCCCGGTAACCGGCCCTCGCCCCGATCCCAAATCTGGTCCAGGCCCGACTTGGTTTTAGAAAGAAAAAAAAACCTTTTTAGTTTTTACACAAAAATGCTAGTAATGTTTTCTTAATTACGAATCTTGAATTTAGCATCGAAATATTATTTAAATAACGCACATACTTAAAATCTTTAAAATTTTGAAAAAGCTTAAGGGGTTGTTTGTATCTCTCAATAGTTTTATTAAGAGGCAACATCTGAATCGTTAAGAGGTGAATTTTTGTTTGGCAAAAAAAAGTTTGTCTCTTAATGGTTATAACACCCTCTGAATGATTTTGTATCGTGTGTCTTCCTTAACCATTCAGCGTTCTAATTTCATTGTAAACAATTATCAAACAATTATATTTCATTTTGCACTATATTATGATATCTTCTTAATCATTTTGAACCAAACTATTCAGCAACTGCAAACAACCATTTAATTACAAATCTTGAAATTTAACATTGAAATATAATTTAAATAATGTATTTACTTAAAATCTTTAAAACTTTGAAAAATATTAGTAATGTTTTCTTAATTATTAGAAGCGTACACGCGCAATGCAACGAGATACATTGTGATTTTAATATTTCATTTTATTCTTTATCTCAGTCGATGTTATAATATGGTTTTATGTGATTTTGAGAAAGTGATGATGTTTTTATTTTTGAATAAAATATATGTTTGAAAATATCATAAAAATTTGACAAAAATATATCGATATTAGTATCAAATTAATTATTTGAAATTCCTCATTTTTTGTGTAATTTTTTAATTTTATTTTTTATAATTTTATTTATTTACAATAACGAAATAATTTATATTTGGTTTGATAATATAATTTTTTTATAAAGATAATAACTATTTATTTTGTTGGAACTTGATAATTATTCTAATTATATTTTAGATTTTTTATATTTTAAAATGAGATGTTCATTCTCTATTTGATTATGTTTATCCGCAGTTATTTATACGAATTCAAACATC